TTATCCACCATGATATTCTCAGCAAGTAGAGGTGTGATATTGCCACTACTGTGGTACAGTGATAAGGTATTCTCAGCAAGTAGAGCAGACCTTCAGGAAATATTTGTTGAACATTGCCATTAGAAAGGCCCAGTAGAGTACAAGGGTTGAAACACAGGAGATAAGGAAGTAACTGATCAAAGTACTCTAGGAGGCCACAAGACATTACATTCAGAGCATTAGATGGAGGATAAAGTATATGTACACTAAAAAGTAAAATGACAATTACTAATTCACTGAGGGCCAGAGCAAGTCAAAGCTTGTTAGAATGTATGTTTTGGGAGAGACTGTATTAAATTGAATTGGATAGGGATGGTTTCAAAGAAGTAATTGGGCCAGAAAGTATGGTTAGATTTTGTTATTAACTATGACTTTTCTTAATTTCTGAAAACAGAATTAATCAGATGACTTCAGTTGTATCATAAGTTGGGCTCTCTGGGAAGATGTTGAGATGCAGTTAGAAGTACAAAAGGTTTACTGCAGAGAAGCACTTGTGAAAGAGAGAGGAAGCAGGGCTGGGCAGGGCAGCCATGTGACTGCCATGCAGGTCTGACAAAGCTGCTGTCTTCCTAACATTAAATAGGTCTTTTTTTTTTTTTAATTAAAAAAAATTTTTTTTAATGTTTTATTTATTTCTAGGAGAGAGAGAGAGACAGCGTGAGCAGGGGAGGGTCAGAGAGAGAGGGAGATACAGACTCTGAAACAGGCTCCAGGCTCTGAGCTGGCAGTCAGCAAACAGCCCAACACGGGGCTTGAACCCACAAACCGCGAGATCATGACCCAAGCGAAAGTCGGACGCTTAACCGACTAAGCCACCCAGGCGCCCCAAGTAGGTCTTTATACTAGGCTTAACTCAGTCTTTGGCTGACGATGGGCACGCGGGAAGGGGCTTCCCTGAGAATACTGTAACTTCAGCTTGAAATCTGAGGTGAACCCAGAGTTAACAGCCAGAGGCTATTAGCTAAGTACATGCCTTCAGTTGGGCAGTGAGTCCTTTCTCAAGGGAGAGCTGAAGTGTACCTAGGACTGCCATACATTCTAGGATGCCAATTCAACCCAAATTAATCTATAAATTCAATAAAGGATTTTTTGACAAACTCAATAATCTTGTTCTAGAAAGTATTTGGAAAAACAAAGGTTTGTGTTTAGCTAAGTAAAATTTGAGGGAAAAAAGAGAAAAAAGGAGGAATTTGCTCTGTTAAATATTAAGATAGCCTATAAGATGAAGGTAAATAAAAACAACATGGTACTGGTGTTGTCATAGACAAAGAGACCAATTGAGTTCAGAACCAGAGACGTATATAAATAGAAATATAATAAAAGTGGCATCAAAAATCAATGAGGAAGGGATAGACTATTGTGTATAATTAGAGAAAAATTGGCTTGCCATCTGGAGAAAAATAAGCTAGATCCCCACCTTACACCAAATAAAGGAATATATTCCAGAGAGAATAATGATCTAAATGTGACTCTCTGGAGAGTAATGAACTATAAAGGAAATAGAAAATGTACGATATTTTTGTGAAGTCAAAATGCAGGCTGAGTCTTTAAACAAGAGCCCAAAGGCTCCATTGAGAGTAGTATGATTATATCCATCAGCTGGGAGAGAGAACTGGAAGAATCTAAGGAAGAATTACATATACTATACAGAATATTCCTAGGATAAGGGCAGCTAAGTAAACCACAAGGAGATATAAGTCTGTTAGGAAACGTCATTATGATTGGCTGTCCAAAATATTTCTCTCCGCCTCTACCTCCTTCCTATTTAAAATTAAGCACATATCCTTTAATAGACATTTTTGAGTTCCAGACACTATGCTAAGTATAGGAAATACAAAGATGAATACGCTTGAGCTCTAGTCCTTAAAAAGTTCATGATCTAGTCAGGGAGACAGAGCAGAAAACTAAGTAAGATGTTTGAACTCCTATCCTACAGGTAGAAACCAAGAGGCATTTACCTTTGCCCTAGGACATCAGTGAGAAGACGGTTTTTGAACAATGAGGAAAGTCTTTCCAGGCAAAAGGAGCATCACTGACAAAGTCACAGGGCTTTGGAAGAGCATGGTTTATTGGAACATGTTAAGTAGGTAACCTAATAAGGAACATTCTGAAATGCTTGTTATTGAATTCAGAAAGTATTTTATGGAGATTCAGTCTTCTCTCAGCAGTACTGATAATCACAACAGCTCATGATCACTTTTGACTGGCAAAGCCAAAGATGAAGTACTGAAGTGATAAGGGGTGAGAAAGAGAAGCATGATGCAAAGCACTGATGGGGAAATGTGGAGTAGTACAACTGCATAATGGACTTAGAGGAGGAAGAGGTTGCTGTCAGCTTCACTGGTCAGCGAAGATTTCATGGAAGTGGCAGAGCTTCACTTAATCACTCAAAAAAGTGAGAACTGACTGTATATATCAGGGGCTGTGCTTGAAGCAGGAACTTCAAGACTATAGTTACTAAGGGACAGATAATCAGATACTTGCAAACAATAAAGCAATGAGTGCAATGACAGAGGCAAGCTGGAGCAGAGGGCCACTTATGGAACGGTTCGTAATGAAGTTGCAAACATTGTTCCGGTCAGCCTGTGACAAACCTATTACACAGGTTAAGCAGTTAGGATTTACTTTTCCCATAGCAATATTAAATTAAAAAATCAATTTTATTGTGGTAAAGTATGCATAAAATTTACCATTTTAATCCTTTTTAAATGTACAATTCAATCACATTCAGTACATTCACACTGTTGTGCAACAGTGAACTATCAACACTGTTCATCTCCAGAACTTTTTCCACATCCCAAACTGAATCCCTTCACTCATTCTAGAATAACTGCCTGTCCTCCCCTGCCCTCCTAGCATTGGCAGCTACCATTCTACTTTCAGTCTCTGGGAGTTTGGTTACTCTAAGTACCTCATGAGTGGAATCATACAATATTTGTTCTTTTGTTTCTGGCTTCTTTTTTTTTTTTTATTTCTAGGAGAGAGAGAGACAGCGTGAGCAGGGGAGGGTCAGAGAGAGGGAGTCACAGAGCGAAACAGGCTCCAGGCTCTGAGCTGGCTGTCAGCACAGAGCCCGACGCGGGGCTCGAACCCACAAACCGTGAGATCATGACCTAAGCGAAAGTCAGACGCTTAACCGACTAAGCCACCCAGGCGCCCCCGTTTCTGGCTTATTTCACTTAGCGAAGTCACTTTAATCAACACTCTGGTTATTCAGTGGCTGAATTCTAATTTCATTCTACTCTACATGCTATATTTTACAACAAATGTCTCCCTTTCTTGATAATCTTTCCCACTTGTTGCTCAAGGACACTTCAGTTTAGCAAATTATAAACTCAGAGTTCTTAAGGGCAATTTAGTCTACCACTGTCTGTCATTAAAGAGATTTTCATCTCTTACTCTGTGTCTTTATACTGCGAATTATTTTCATTTCACTATAGTTTTACAGGCACTAGACCTTCTGCAAAATCCCACCTAGTCTCTTTTTAAAAAAAAAAAAAAAATTATTTTGGGGCGCCTGGGTGGCTTAGTCGGTTAAGCGTCCGACTTTCGCTTGGGTCATGATCTCGCGGTTCGTGGGTTCGAGCCCCGCGTCGGGCTCTGTGCTGACTGCCAGCTCAGAGCCTGGAGCCTGTTTCAGTCTGTGACTCCCTCTCTCTCTGACCCTCCCCTGCTCACGCTGTCTCTCTCTCTCTCCTAGAAATAAATAAAACATTAAAAAAAATTATTTTGAGAGAGACAAAAAGTGCGCGCGAGCAGGGAAGGGGCAGACACACAGACACACCTACACAGACCCCACCCCCCACCCTCCCACACCTGAACTCAAACCTGGAGATCATGACCTAAGCCAAAATCGAAGGCTCAATAGACTGAGCCACCCAGGCGCACCACCCCCACCCTCGCCTTCACCTAGCACCTTAATGACAGTGAATAATAGCAAATAGAACAACTCAGGCAGCAAACTTCCTGGGAAGGGAAGTTAATTTAGGCTGCTGATATGGAGGCTCTCTCTTTTGATACTATTTATTTTCCTTATCTGTGGCTGAATCGGCTGTACGCGAAGGGAATTAAAAACACACTGTTCTTATCTTTAGCTGGGAAAGTCTGAAGTTACAGATGCTTGAAAACGGTTTGAGAACTGACAGGGTTATCTCACCTTTGTTTAGGGGCATCCCTAAATCATTACGGCTCTACCATCAAGTTGAGTATTTTTTTTTTTGATGTTTTATTTCTGAGAGAGAGAGAGAGAGAGAGAGAGAGAGAGAGAGGGAGACAGCGTAAGCAGGGGAGGGTCAGAGAGAGAGACACACACACAGAATCCGAAGACAGGCCCCAGGCTCTGAGATAGCTGTCAGCACAGAGCCCGACACGGGGCTCGAACCCACGAACCGAGAGATGATGACCTGAGACGAACTCGGACGCTTCACCGACTGGGCCACCCAGGCGCCCCCAAGTTGAGTACTTTTGGACAAGCCACTAAACCTCTGGAAGTTTCAGAGGGTTAGATTACACCAGCCTGTGCTTCCCAACCTTGTCCACACCACAGCACACACTATACGGTAATGCAGGACACTGAGATAAACGGCGGAGGCAGGACAGCACACCTGGAAACCACTGGCCGCCGTGCGATCTCGCACAGCGTGTAGACGCTCTCAAGGAGCGCTCCAGTCCGCAGGTTCGTTCCAGCTGATGCGCCACGGCCGTGTATACATAGGACGAAGTGGGGCTCCCGCTGTTTCTGAAGTCAGAGACCTCTCCCTCTGTGTATAAAAATAAAGTTTTTATTCGATAAGAGGACCAAAGCGTGAAAAGGAACAAAGGCCTCAAACGACGCAAATACGCAAAATACCGAAGTACCGCACTCGCCCAACGAGCTCTAAGACGAGCTTACGTCTCTTCCCAGCAGGCTCCGGGAACCACCGCGAGACTTCATCAATTCTCGCGAGATTTATCGGCAGCCATCTTCTTGGGGGTGCTGGGAGCCGGGAAGACCCCCCGAATCGTTCCCATTGAGCTGCCCTTCGTCTTCGCTTTCTTCACTTTTGCCTGTTCTGCATTGCCAACACCACCTGGTTGCGAGGCTGAGAGAAAGCCCGATCTAGGCGCGTGTCGACCTCCCGATCCAAGAAGATTTGCTTGGGTGGAGGGAAGGGGGAGGGCCCGGGCAAACCGTTGCTGCTTCAGCCCGGGCCGGGGTCCGGGGACGGGGAGCTCCTGGCGCCCCGTGGATTCGCGGCCTGCGACGGTACCCGCAGAGCTGTTCGCCGATCCGGGCTCGCGGGAACCTGCCACCGGCGCCTCCCACCGCGGCCCACGCGGGTGGCGCGCGGAGGAGGGGGCGGGGGCAGCGGCTGCTGTAGCGGCCGAGACCTGGGCGGGCGGAGGAGTGTGACGGGCCTCGGGGCCGCTGTGGATGGTGTCTAAAATGATCATTGAAAACTTCGAGGCACTCAAGTCCTGGCTCAGCAAGACTCTCGAGCCCATGTGAGTATCCGGGGGCTATCTCCTTGCAGGGATGGAAGTGGGAGATAGGCGGACACCTAGATCTGTGCAGTTTCCCCCAGGTGCTTACGATGGAGGAGGCCAAAGCGGTGAACGGAGGTCCTAGGGTTTTTTGTTTCTCCTTCTTTTCCGTCCTCGCTCCCACGTTTAGGAGAGCCTGAGCCGACCTTTATATTATCACTGAGTTGGTCCTTGAACTGGTATCTTCTTCGCTTGTTTTCCCGTTATATGTAGATCGACTCCAAGCTACACACACATTTGACGAGGGGCCCTCAAATCGGTTTCTTTTCCTTTAGTGAATCCAATCATAACGTCTTGCCCACAAACTAATATACCTTGTTTCTTTAAGTGAAGTGAATGGCCCTTATTAGGGATTAGAAGAGTTGTAGTGCTAGCCACTCACGTTTTAAATAAATGTAGTCCCTGAAAGAAAGGCCACGTTTCCCATGTGCTATCTGGCTCCTCCGCACCTCTTCTAACTGATTGAAGATGGAACAGGTGCTAAGGTACCCAATAAGATTCCCTTTTGTCACCTACACGTTTGTTAGCTTGGCGAGGAGGAACAAAATGTTATCTATCCATATGGAATATTTAGCAGTTTTAAGTGGGTTGCCGTAGATGGAGTGTGAGTGTGTGTGTGTGTTAAGAGTGCCGGAATGTTTTAGATTGGAAAAAATGAGTGTTTTAAGGATTTGTCTTTTAGTACATAGAAAGTACAGGTTGGGCCAGGTGCCTTATCAAAAGTGGTTGATTTACAGTAAACAACTTAAAATGAAATAGGGAAAACTACTCATTTAATAAGTTTATTAAGTGCCCACTGTGTACTGTGGGAGGCTTTGGTGATAGAGCTTTTAAATTCCAAAGTTGACAAGACAATAATAAAGGAATATTAAATAAAATAACTTCAGATAAAAATAGGAATGATGGTTGTAATAATAGGGGATCTTATAAAAGGGTGGTTAGAAGGCTTCTCACAGGAGGTAGCGTTTGAGCAGCATTTAGGAGAAGGAACCATCTGTGTCAGTCTGGAGAAAGACTTTTCCTTGCAGAAGGAACAGCAGGTGCAAAGACCCCATAGCAGATGTGATCACAGTGTGTTCCAGGAAGAGAAGGAAGGAAATGTGGCTGCAAGGAACCTTGTGATGGGGATGGGGAGAAAATGGAGAGACATGAAATTAGAGAAGTTGGCAGGGGCCAAATTATGTAGGATTTTCTAGGCCATGGTCAAGAGCTAGGATTTCATTTATGAGGAGAAGACTTTAGATAATTTAAAGCAGGCAGGGACTGTTTTGGTCTTTTTTGTTTATTTTTGAGAGAGAGAGAGAAAGAGTGTGCGCATGCAAGGAGGGACAGAGAGAGGGAAATGCAGAATATGAAGTAAGCTCCAGGCTCTGAACTGTCAGCACAGAGCCCAACTGGGGGCTTGAACCTACCAACCACCATGAAATCATGACCTGAGCCAAGGTCGGATGCTTAGCCAATTGAGCCACCCGTGCATCCCTGATTTGATGTTGTTTTAATTCTGCCTGCTTTGTGGAGGTTAAGGGGGGCAAGTGTCAAAGTAAGGAGGCTGTTCTGAAGGGCATTGTAGCAGAAATGTAAGTAGTTTGTTTTAGAATGGTAGCGGAAACAACAAAATATGTTTTATAAATGGATATGACAGAACTAGCTGATACGGATTGGATGTGGGAGACAAGGGAAAGGGAAATCAAGAATAATGACTAAGAAGTTAGCAACTGGATAGGTGATGATAGAGTAGGATGGGAGACCACATTGGGGGGAGGAGGAAAGATGATTGGTTTTGATCTCTAAGTATAAGGTGTTAGACATCTAAGTTGGATGTCAAATAGGTTGTTGGGTTATGAGTCTAGAACTCAGGTGAGGACTGGAGAAATTTGGGGTAGTCAGGTAGTATTTGAAAACTATGGAGTTGTGGGAGATTTCCTCATTAAGAATGTGTTGGTAGGGAAGAAAGGAGGGCCCAGGTTTGAGGTAGAAAGTTGAGGTTTATGTTACTAAAGAAGTGAATGACAGAAGAGGTGAGTTGTCAACTTGATGGAATGTTGCAGAATGGACGAAAAGATGAATTTAAAGGTAAGTGGCCCTTTAGTTTGGAAAGGTAGAAGTCATTGGTAACCTTAGCAAAATAGTTTCGTTGAAGTGGGGTGGTCTAGATAGAAGCCTGATTTCAGTAGATGAAGAAGAGACAGTGTGCAACAATGTCGTGTAGTGAGTTTGAGAGGACAAACTCTGGAACCAGAATGGCTGGCTTTGAATATTACGTCTGCCACTTTACCAGCTGTTTAAAATTGGGTAAGTTACTTAACTCAGTGCCTCCCGTTTCCTCATCTGTATGGGGGAAATAACGAGTATATATTAAGATCTTTCCTTGAACACTGCCTGGTTTGTAATTAGCGCTCAATAGGTAGTAGGTGGATAGAAAACTTAAAATGTTTTAAGTTGAAATAGCATTCCTTTTTTAAAAAAACTTTTTAAAAAATATAGTTACATACAATGTTACATTAGCTTTAGGTATACAACTTAGTGACTTAGTATCTCTATATTTTATGTTATAACCTAAAGGTTACTTATAGTTACTTAGTGTATATGCTTGTGATTTTCATTCAGTTTTAATAAAGCATGTGTCAGGTATTGTATAGCCTACTCAGATGCCTGTAGCACTGTAGTCATTACTGGTAGAATAAATAAGGCACTGCTAGCTAGTACAGCTTAAACAGTGGTAGGAATTGGAATTGGTCCTTTCATAACATACTTGCTGTGGTAAAATTGAGCCCTTATCCAAGCTCCTGTCCCTTTAATTGCATTTCAGATGAGTTCTTGGTAACTTTTAAAGCTAATTCCAATTATTTAAGACTTGTGGTTTCTAACCTTGGTTTTGTGAAACTTTTAGATGTTTGTTATCTGAAAGGATTTTTTTTTGTTTTACTTTAAAATTATGATTGTCAAATAGCACCTGTTTGAAGGAGAACATTTGAAGGACCAAGGGTAAGATGTAACTCAGAACTTGTATGGAACTTTCTAGGTACTTGTGCTAGCAAAGTATCTCATGGTTTTGGACTTCCTCTGCATTTTGAATGTTAATTCAGCAAACATTGGGTACTTAATCTACTTTGTGTACCCACCGGTGTGTTAGATATATTAGGGATAGTGGGAAATGAGCTGAAATGACCGTCTTCATATTGTTCACCACTTAGCAGGGAAGACATGTTGAACAAATAATTACACGACCAGCTAGTATTACGAAGTCCAGAGTGCTGTCAAAATATACGTCTGGGAGGTCAGGAAAGGCTTTGCTGATATGGGAACATTTGATCTTAGCTTGCAAGGATGAAGAGCAGTTTACGGGGGCAAAAACAGGGGAATGGAGAACTGTGAAAGCATTGCAGGTTTTGAAAAACAGATTGTATGAAAACGCAAAAATGGAAGAAAAAAAGGGTCCTGGGGGGGTTGAAAAAAACTGGGGGGTTGGGGGGAGCAAAGGGAAGAATAGCAGTGGATAGCTCAGAGAGAGGAGCCAGAACGTTCAGGACTTTGTTGAGTCATGTTAAGGAATTTGGATGTTAATTGAAGGATAGCGGGAATCCAGTAAGGGTTTTAGAATCCGGAGAGTTTTCAGATTGACATAAAACAAACACAAAACTCAGCCTGGTTGCACTGTTTTGGCATGAAATGAAAGTTGGCAAACCTACATTTAATATGATTGTAAGGTCTGTAGATATGTCAGAGTTTTGAGTTTTGTGGGGGTTTTTTTAACATAATTTATTGAAAATGTAGGTGTTAAAATTGGCACCTTAAAATACTTAAGATTGATATTTTTCTCTTAAACATTTGCTTAGTCATCTTGCTAATAATAAAATAAAATTTGATGTTAGTCTTTTCTCTAACATTCATTTCATTTTGCTAATGTGAAGTCCTGGGGGAAAAAAATGAAGGCTTTTTTTTTGTTTGTTTAATTTTTCTGTTTGTTTTCTAAACAGAAAAGATTTTCTGTATTTTAAGACTCTTTACGAGTTTACTCATCATCAAGTATGGTTATTTAATAAAATCATGGACTTTTTTAGCTGGAAGGAAGCCTTAAAATCAAGTCAAAATAAAAAACTGCTTAATTTAAAATTTTTTTTCCAAAAAGTGGAGAGGCAGATAGACTTAACGATGCACCCCAATTTTGTGAGGCTAACAGAATGCCTAGTTTTGTGCTCCTGCTGCTGTGTAGTGCCGTGGAGGTAATGCATAGTGGAAAGAAGCCAAGCTTTGATCCACGTGGACTAGTGTTCACGTCTCAGTCTGCCACTTACTGGGTAATTTAGCAAATGAACTTCCTCCTTTCTTACTGGAATAATGGGGAGAATTATACTTCTTTCCTTCTGTAGTGGAAAGCATTTGAGACACATTTTTACGAGTTTACCCTTTCCAACCTTCCTTACATACTGCTTGATTAAACACAAATAGGTTACATTACTTGCTACTGTTACTATTATCACTGCCACTACCCAACTGTGTTTGCACACATTGTTGAAAGGTTTCGTATTACTTCCAAGTTCTATGAGGTAAGCACTGCTGTTACCTCCATTTTGCAAGTGATGACACTGGGGCACTGAAACAGGAAGTTAAGGTACTTGTCCAGAGTCACACAGCTAGCTATACCATGTTACTGAACAGTAATTTAAACTCCGGCTTTTTTGACTGTAAAGCTATGTTCTTAATTTACTACCAGACAGTGTATTCTTTCCTGCTACTGTATGTACTTTTCACTGTTACATTTTCATAATACTGGCTGCAGTGATAAAGGAATAAAGTTCTAAAGCATCATGGTTACCAGTGCTTTTACAGTGTAAGAAAACTCTTTGGGAGTTTTTGTAGTCTTTCCCTTTCACTCACACTTGTTACTTATACCTTTCTCACCACATTGAAATTACTTTTGTTTCTTTTACAGGAAGAACTGAAAGGTGGTCTTTTCACCC